AAAAAATCAGCTGCATCACGTAGCAGCCTTAAATTATGTAAAACTTAAGGGCGTAACTTTATTTCTGTAAGTAATGAAAACAAGCAAAATACGAGACCAACAAACTTGCGAAGTTCAATGGCGGACGTCAATGCAGATTGCCGAGTTAGCGAAGATTGTGCTTCTGGCGCCATCTCTCCATTGGCGCTACGAGCAGACGACGCACTCATTCGAAAGCAGGCGTCCTGGTCGTCTGTTCGCTCTGTTTATAGGGAGATGCCGCAACCATCTCTCTATAGACGTATAGGATGGTCTCGGTTTTCACACACACACACAAAAGAAGGAGCTACATTTGAACTTTCGCAAGGTAAAATCCACCACTCAATTGCATCTTTGATGAAATTGTGAGGTAGCTACTCACGGGCGCCAATTTTTCTGCAGTATTTTAGTGCTAGCCCGGGGGTCTATGCCACTCTATATTACCAACACAAAATATCTATCCACTATGACAAATGTAAAATTCATTTCAAGATGCTATCTTCACTACCTTTTGTATAGCGCACTAAAGTTAAGAACAGTGATGTCGGCACCAACATCTGCACGTTACCAGTGCGACTGACGTCAGCAGATGACGAACATATGTGCTTACGAGTTCAAGTAACGGAAACCATAAAAAAAGTATTTCATGCTCTGCCGTAATTTTTACTTTCAAAAGACTCACACTGTTATAATTACTGTCATTATATAAATTAGAAGATGACGCCGATTCTAAACTTTGCAAGTAGACCAGAGCACTCCTTCATGTGTCAGTTTATTATTTTACTTTCTCGCAGAACACTTTGATTACTCTGTTTAAACAAATGAAAAACGGGACAGATTCGAACGTAATCGGATACGTCCCACTTAGAAGTTACGATAACAATTGCACGAACTTCGCTTTGCTCCAGACCCTCTAAACGGCGCGTCGCCGAAGTCCATCAACATGATGGATCGCTCAAGATGGAGACCCGTCGTGGCCCGAAATCAAAATGAAGGCAGTCCATCACCGACGACAGAACTAACCTTAAAAAAAAAAAAAAAGACGAAATACTTTCGGTTTATGGAAACAATAAATAGGTCTCACCCTGCGCAATCGGCCCGTCCGCAAAACTGCGAGTTTACTTCCCATTTCGGCTTAAGAGCCACGTAAAAGAAAGCCTCTAGACTTCTTTTTCTGTGTCTCTTCTTTCTTGTGAAATACGCACAACCCTACGCGAACTGCTCCGGCGATTCGTCGAGGACTGTGCTGGGCATTTCGGGTAAGGAGTCCTCCCGCGATCGCCGGTTGCCGTTGCTCAGCCGGGTGCGGTGTACTTAACCTCAGAGCCCCCACAGAGCTGCGAGGGCAGCGATTTCGCAGACCGTAAACTTCCGACAGGCACTTCCCAGATCGAGTCCGACTGAGCCCTCGTCTCTGTGGAGATAAGAAAATCCCTTCTTGAATCCCTCGTCGCGCTTTTGTTTTCCGAGTATTATGAACCCCTTGTGTACGGTATAGCCGTTCACTTTCGATTCTGTATTTTTTCGCTTCGAAACGCGGCAGAATCTATGTCGGTCTCCGAAAAAAGTAATCTAGAAAAAAAATGTCGAAACGATTTTGTAGAGGAAATCCTGAAATCCAAACGCGCTTCCAAAAGGGAACCTGCTGATCGGCATTTTCCTGCAAAAAAAAATAAATAAAATAAAATAAAAAAAAGCACACACACACAAAAAAAAGACTGCCACTTTTTAAAATCGCAAAAAGAAAAGTCCCAAATGAGTTTACTGAAGTGGTTCGGGTTCGGTTTCTTCGGGAATTTTTTTTTAATATAATAAATTGTTTTCGGTTAAAACCTGTATGTTCAGTGGCACTGGTGGTCGCGTTTTGATCTGACATGTTTCTTTCGCACCCGAACTTCTGCTTGCTGGGAGAAGAAAGCGGTTGATGTTTCCTTCGAAACGGCAATGAATCCAGTCAACGCTCCAAGAAATGTCCAACTTGAAAGTAGGTGTGCCGCCTTTCGAAGGCACATCTACTCTTGTTTCTGTTATAATCATCCTGTAGCTGTGATTTAGCCAGGGTTCATGTCTCCTTCTAAACGGCAATGTATCCAGCCTACGCTGCCAAAAATGCCCGCCTCGAGGGGACGTGCCGTGCCACCTTTCAAAGGCACATCTACTCTTGTCTCTGTTACAATCATCCAGTAGCTAGCTGTAATTTAGCCAGTTGCATATATTGGGAGGGTGCGGCACTTACAGGAGGCGCGCCGCTGTGCCTTGGCAGCGCCGCCAGTGACAGCATCCACATATACGTCGCACAGTGAAGCACTTCCCGCTCGAACCTATATGCTCCCTGACCGGCTTGGCCGCTTCTGCACCTTCCTGTGGCCGTCTTTCTCGATTTCGCTACAAAGTAAAGGCTTGGCATTTTGACATTCAAAACCTACCCACGTCCAGCTCTGCTCTGGATGTGTTTTCCGTCACTCGATGCTTATAGGAATCCCTCAGAGCTCGTGTTCAGTCGTGCGTCCCGCAGTTGCAAGCGGCAAGCAACGACGGCACCACACCCGCTATGTTTTTCGTTTATCTATTCGCGACTCCAGCAAAACGGTCGCCGCCAAGCGGGAAAACCGGGAACCAGCCGGTCCAGGTCGCTCCGCGCCCCTCCGCGTCTCTGGTGGCTTTCGCGGACACGTGTTGTTGGCGAAGTGACGAACAGTGTAATTTGACGAAGGTCCGAATATTTCTTAAGTTTGCCTGAGTGATCATTAGTGTGGTGAAGCCCCAGTAGATTGTTTTCTTCTATTACGTGTTTGAAAGCCCGTTTACTCCACAGCACACGGTCGCGTGCTTTCGATTTCTGGGATGGGGAGGAATCACGGAAAAACTTTTTGATTTCTTGCCTGTCTCGAATCACATTCAAAGTGACGACTGCTTGGTAACTGATACTGGAGAAAACATCAATGTTGCAGCCAAGTGAACGGGAAGGTTCGATAGCTGCTTTTCTTGAGTTTGGTTCTGTCCAATTAGCTATAACATTGAGCCACCCACGCCGGTCGGTGCGTTGGCTATTCATCTTGGCTGCTTTTCGCCGAAAAAGCCTCTGGACCACCCTGAAGGAGTTGGGCTGATTTCGCAATTGCTTGATTCAGGAAAACTTGCTCGCTGCAAATGATGAATGAGGGAAATTATCTGTTTTCAAAAGGTGGGAGACAAGTCTCGCAACGTTAGATGCTGTCACGGCATTTTGACCTATCGCACCTCCAATATTTATATTACGAGGACGTCGAACCCAGCAGCAATATACGTCTACATTGGTCAGGTTGACCGGCCACAAAAAAATACCAATTTTCTCCGTTCAGGATTCGAAGCAAAGTTCAATGCAGAGAGGTTCTGCGTGGATCTTCAATGAAGACTCTTCAGTTTGTCTCCGTGCTGCTGACTATAGAACCATTTGGCTAAGTTTAGGTAGTATGTCTCCGTCTGTCAAATATACTTTTATTCATCTGCTCACCTAATAGCTAGTCAACTAAGCTGATGTTTCAACCCGAAGGATATACTAATATTGCTTTAGTGGGACATAGTACGTAATATAATACATAACCCGCTCGTCAAAATGACTTCTCGATTGCTACATAAACCTGAATTGAAATATGAGTATCAGCTGCTTAGTGGGGCGCCGGCGGGTTAACATGGTCCTTGGCTCAAGAAGCGGTTGCTTAATTTTCGTGATGTTCCTGCAGCCTGTGTTGTTGGCCGAGCAGATGACTGGAGCTGTTTCGTAAGCGCGGATACGCACAAAAGCTTGATTTCGCGGACAGATAAGTCGCATGATCGAGGCATGCGAGTTAGCTGAAAAGTTACTCTCTGTGGAACAATTCGATAGTCATCGCCGCTTTCCTTAGATGATCAAAACTGATTAGTATATTACCGTCTCTCCGGAGCCCATAGTTTCGGTTTTGAACGAAATCTCGAAACGAAAGTTTGAAAAAAGAGCAAAAAAACACCGGCAAAACAAAACTATGGTTTGCAAGTTTATCTGCACCGGCTACACTTAACCGTCTCAGTTCAAATACCTATAAAATTCTGCATTAAACAAAAGAAAATCTGTTAAATTGAACGCGCCACCTGTTCAGGCGGCCCGGCCGACCCGCCGCGACCTGGACTCAGCCGCCATGTTTGTTTGGTGGTGGCGCCCCCTATAGGTCGCTGGAGTCGCGAATACGCTGCGGAAGATGCCTTTATGAAGCGTTTGTGTGTTCGGCAGTCTGAAAACCACTACAGGACGAGATTCACCAGTGCCAGTAATTGATAAAATCTTCACGAGGAGTGTTTTTCGTTCTTCTTATTATCCGATTGCTCTTCGCTCGCTGGCGGTTGAACACGTATACTGAGATTCAGATGATCGCGGCGCTTTTGCACAGTGTTCTCAATGAAAGCGTTTCGTGTAAAAAAGAAAAAGAAAAGGTCAGAGTTGATTGTGGTTTTGAACTTTTTGTATTCCGCTGTGCGCTGGTAAACTGACATTGATTACAAAGGTCGGCTGTTACACAGGATGTCTATGCCGGTCCGGCCGTTGTCTATGTGAAATAATTGTTCTAGGAACCGCACCATGGTGTCGTTGTCTTGTTGCACGCTTCCAATTACTGTTGACAGTGGTGGGCGATAAATTATTCGGATGACCCTCGTGTATATAAACAGGGAACTATCCCTTAGGTTCCGCAGTGTCACTGCTAGGCGTCCGTTTTCTGTGTCACCATGCTTGTGTCTTTTTTTCTCTCTCTCTGATTTGCAGCGGGTTTTGTGAAAGAGTGTATCCAAGCTAGAATCTATAGCTTGAGTGGTTGCGTCAGCGCCATTTTGAATTCCATTATTCCTGCGTATAATGTTTCCTGTCATCGTGGTTTTTTTTATCATCGTGGAAGGAGAGACACCTGACGGAAATGAAGGGCACTGAGGCGAGGCAATCTACATCAACCCCCAATCCCTTCTTTCTCTTGAAGGCGAGGAGAAGGCCCTGATGCTGCCTGCCGTGATCCAGTCGAAGCTGGTAACGCGACTCAAAGAGGGCACCGAGTACGCCGTGGTGCTGTCCGCTGTCTACCCCAACGTCCAGACGGCATCCGCCCCCAAGATGACCGTGAGGACGCCTATGCCCGTTGCCGAGCTCCCCGTCGGGGACGACTCCTACTTCGACAACAGAATACGTAAGAAACTCCCGAGGTCGCGTTACATAATCAAGTTGCCAGCACTAGCATCGTGCTTAAAACTTGGGTTTCGGTTATAAAAGCGTGAAATACTTTTTAGCGAACCCCCTCCACAATCCAAATATTTTGTCCTTCCGTCGCGGGATTTTCCGCTAAATTTAGGGGGGGAATTGACGTCCCTTGACCTATACACCAATTCAATTTCCCCGCTAAACTTGTCGGGAAAATTTCTGTCACATGACGTGACGTCATGAGGCGTATGCACCCAATTCAGTTTCTGCGTAAAGCCTACTGAGAAAATTAATGTCACGTGACTTCACGTATGTCAGGTGACCTTTGTACCAAATTAGTTTCCCTGCCATTTATCGAGGAAATCGATAAAAAATATAGATTCGTCTTCACTCTCCGAAACGACTGTTTAAAGTCTTCTAAACAAATTTCCACGATCTCCCCTTAAATGACGTATTTCATGCATCATAAGACTTGGAAGATAAAGGGCGCCGTCAATTTCATTGTTTTGTGTAAGAAACAAATGGGCATAGAAAGCTAAAAAAGCAGTTATATTTTTGTGTGTGTTTTAAGTAAGCAACGAGAAAGTATAGCGCTAGTTGCGATTCATTTACGTACATTTATAATTGCGACCGCAATGTCCATAATTATCCTAAAAAAAGAAAACGTTCAGCCTTTCCACTCTGGTGAGGAAGGAAGAGCAGCGGAACTGGTACTATGTGCCGCCTCTATAAGCCACGGCGGCAACCAGACAACCGACAAACTGGTCGTCTGGTTGCCGCCGTCGCTTATACATGGCGGTAGCTGTCCAACGGGTTGTGTCGAGATATCCATGGACATGAAACTGGGAAAATGAGCTCTTAACAGCTCCGCTGTAAAAAAAAAAAAACAATTCTGGCATCAACTGAAGTAGATTAATACCCGTTTTTTCATCCTATCTCTAAGGAAGAAGCAGTTTTTTGTTGTTGTTTTATATTTACAACAATTACGTTAGGCATTTTTTCTCAGTTTGTTTGAAAGTACAGTCATTGCTAAGAACACTAACTCTAACTATTACCATAAAAAAATATTTCCATATTTCGGTGTGATATTTCAATGTTTATGATATTTCTCTTGTTTGAGCTTATAGAATTCGTTGAATATTCTATCTATTAAAACATCACTTAAACATTCATCGGAAAGCACTGAAGTCGGCAAAAGCCCTCTATATCTTGCGAGAGTACCGCTTTTCTCAGCACGTCTGTACACGTACACTTTGTTTTACTTCAAGGTGAAGGCTAGAAGTCCAATCTCGTAGCTACGGCGGTTGCACCCTCTACGCGGGAACACGTGGAGCTGAGGTGCATCCTTGAGAAAGGAGCTCACATTCGTAGCCTTTCCTGTCATGCATCTCTAGGTGAATCAAACAAAACACGATGGTGCTAGAGGCTGTCAGGAAGCAATAAAATAAAAGTCTCGTTAGGAGACTAGAAGCTAAATCCATGAGCGAAATGTCGGCCGCTGCTCTGAAGCCTTACAGGAGGCTTCTTTTATTTTTATTTTCGCCTATTGAGGTTGTAGTAGCGACTCGAACTCGAGTCTGCAGAACCCAGGATGCTGGGTTCAATCCCCACCCCTGCCCGTTTCGATCTGGATGAGCATCGTACCGGCGTGCGGTCGTGTATCAGCACTGCGTGGTACGCGTTAAAGATCCCAGAATAGTGATTGTTCTGTACTGGCTAAATTGCTCATCTACAGCTATGAGACTCGTCGCCCGTTGAGGCAGACCAAGTTCTAGGCTGTATAAACATACATAGAACCCAATTAGTTTCGAACTCGACTCATCGCGGGGTCCGTGCTTCGAATGTTGTATGGCAAAGAGTTCAATGAGAAAACTTGGCATGCACGCAACATTCGAACCACGGATATTGCGGTTACTTCTGTTTGCAGGCTGTCTTTTGTATGATGTATGGGCACTGTGATACCTGCTTTAGAGATATCGCGGTATGAGGTATGTTTTGGGGCTTTGCATCGTCTTGAATATCGCTCCAGCATTGTTTTCTGAGCTTCAAATTTCGGTTCAGCATCCCTCTAAAGTAAACCAAATATATATATATATATATATATATATATATATATATATATATATATATATATATATATATATATATATATATATATATATATATATATATCAGTGTGTCGAACCGAAAAAAGTACGGGTTCGGTTACGGTTCGGGTTCAGGTAAATTTATTTTGTTCCGGTTCAGTTCCGGTTCGATTAATTCGATCCGCGAACCGGTTCGGGGCGCTGAACCGATTCGCGAACCGGTTCGGAAATTATAAATGACAAATTGCAACATCAAAATAAATTACAAATAAAACATCTGAAATCAGCACATACGAAACGGGATACATCGTAGTGTAAGGCTCAGGGATTTCTACTAGGAATGGTTTCTTTATGTGCACTCAAAGGTTAGCTCACCGACGTTTACGCATTCGGACTTCATCTAATTGGGTCCGACGCAGTAGCTGTAAAATCCGCGACCTCCTTACAAACCCACTTACAAGTAGAACTCGCTAACTATCCCGCCACCTCGGCGTGTAAGCAATTGAAGGAACAGTGGGGAGAAAATACAGCTTTCTTTATTTGAACTAGCCTTCGGTAACTCAAATTAGTCCCTTAAAGAAGTTTTCATTAAACAAGATACGGAATATGAAAAACACTTCACCGAACGCAACGCCAGAAGGACGTAATAGGATAAATATTAAAATAGAAGAGTTCGCTGTCTCACAAATATGTTCTTCTAAGTGCCTATACGAAACCGCGGATGCATTATTATCAACCTCCACAGCCTTTTCTTTTCTCATTCCGATGGAAGCAAGCTTCAAGAACTCGCCCGTTCTAGAAACGTGTTATGAAATGAGCACACAGCAGCATTTAGGATTTACGAGATTGTAGAAAAATAAAATCCCGTGACGCGATTTTTTTTTGCACAGCTTTCCAATCCTTTTTCTTCCGTGCAAGCCGCGACCAGCGCAATACTGGTTCCTATGTCAAGATTCATGGATGCAGCGTTTGTCAAGATTCATGGATGCAGCGTTTATATTGCTAAGACTGAGTGGAGAAGAAAAATATGTAAACGAGGTGTGTGTCAGTTGACGGCACTTAAAAGACAAATGGCATTGATAGCGCATTCATTGTCAACAGCGCGTGGCCGAACCGGTTTGACATGAGCCGGTAACCGTTATTTTTTTTCCGGTTCAGTTCCGGTTCGGGTTCATCGCGATAACAATATAACGGTTCGGGTTCAGTTCCGGAAAAAATACCGGTTCGGTTCCGGTTTTCGGTTCGGTTCGGTTCCGGTTCGACACCCTGATATATATATATAGCTCCTCGCCAAAAATCTAAACCCTAATTACGTGGGCTCTCTTAACTGAAGTTAACTGTCCCTGAGGGGACTAAATTGTGGTTAAGGGTGCCCCGACAGGCATTCTAAACCACAGTTACGAATAGGTATGGGTAGCAGTTAGCGCCAACAGGTTGCACGGGCCTCCTTAAAGGGGTTTCCAGGCAATTATTTGAGCTGCCTTTACTAACTATATTTTCGGAATCACCGGCGTTTACTTTTTCAGGCATGCTGTTTAGTACCCAAAAATTCAAAATAGTTATTGTTAAATTGGCAAGTGAAAATGGTGCCGAAATCAACATTCAAAATATACCAGCACTTTTCAGTGCCGTGACGTAAGGGGAAGGCAGATTTGAAGGACCGAGCGGGCAGTCTACAAATGGACTATGCCGAGCGTTTTGTTTTGTGCTGCTGCGGGGGTGTTGGAGCGAGCTTCCAAAGCTTTCCTTTGACACCATGAAACTGTTTGTAATCAGTTGGAAACAAAGCCAACAGTCCAAAGAGTGAACCCTTGCCTTTTAATGACGTCACTTTTTCAATGTTGCCAGTAGAGCTTTGCACTTTGAAAAACGAGGGCCCTAATATTAACAGTTCAATAACTTCGCGAAAAAAACTCTATTTTGGCCCAATATTTGAGTTACTATTTCATCGATGTTTGTTGGTGTGTTTAGCAAATTGTCAGGCAAATATTGGACTATGAAGAAAACGCCGCAGTAGTACCCCTTCAACCGCAGCTCAGTCTGATCTGAGTGGCACTTAACTGCGGAAAAGGTTGCACGCGTAGCCAGTGTATTACTCCCTAGTAATCACCAGCCGCTCATTACCAACCTGGTCCGTCCGTGCAGAGTGCAACTGCAGCGAGGAAGGCATGGTGGCCTGCACGCGGTCCGTGGTCCAGGAGGTGGCGTGCAGCTGCTTCCCGAGTTACGCGGGCCGCTGGTGCGAGTCGTGCGCGCCGGGCTTCTTCCGCCTGGGCAAGGCGTGCACGGCCTGCCCCTGCACCAACGCCACGTCCACCGGGGAGTGCGTGCTCGCCGAGCCCACGCAGGTAAGCGCGCCGGGGAAATGCCTAACTTTGCGCGAGCTTGGCGATCCTATGAGAATAACTTGGGCCTAATATACGGTTTTGGTTCCAAGGCGAGTGCCAGAGTATACTTTTCGGCGTTTCTATGACTTTTTTCTGGCTCATCACGTAATTGCCGAAGTGCTCGAGTTGAGCCAAAGATGACGTGTACGAACCGAACGCAGGTAGCATGCGTGAGAAACGCCCAACTAGGCACAAGCATGGCAAGCCTATAGGGGCCTAATAACCAGACTTGCGCCTAACGCGTTACTTGTACCTAGTTACTTTTCTCGGTAAAAAAGTAATGGCCTTGTTACGTTTTAAAAGATATGAGTGACGTGTTTCTGTAACATTTGGGTGAAGTAATGGGTAACGATATTTAGCCACTTCTGGACGGGAACGCGTACAACTGAAATATCCAAGCTAGTGCTCCCCCCAGCTCGCGCCAGTAATTTGCACAACGAGAAAACACCTAGATAACCCATAAAACTATATGCAGAAGGTATGTGAGTAGAGCCACGGTTATTCCTGAATGGATGCGTTAAAAAGCTAGGACGACAAATATTGAAAGCGGCTACTGCTTCGTAGAAATGACCCATTCAGTGTAACGAGAAAATAGCGCGTTACTAACTTCAAGCTGAGGTAAGGCCTTACCTCAGCTTGAAGTAAAAACTAAGTACATTATTCGCTACTGCGATTCAAAAGGAGCCTTTTGAATCGCAGTAGCAAATAACGTACTTAGTTGTTTTTTTTTTTATGAATAATGAGTAGCGGTGTTTAGTTACTTTATTTCAATAAGCTGTACACGCCTGGGTCTAACGTGGGCCTAATACAGTTTTGCTACAACGTCCTAATAGTGCCAGATCACTTTTTTTTAATATTTTTCGGCCTTTCTTTGGCTAACCTAATAATAGCTAAAGAACCAAAGATGCCGCGTTCGAACCGAGGAACCAGTGGTGAAGCTAAAATCTGGCACTTGTTTGGCATTCTAGGCCGAAGTTGCCACGTGAAAAGCGAACAACCAAAAGTAGAGCCCAATTCTGGCACATGTTTGGTGATTCAGGCCCAAAGATGGCCCAAAGATGACAGCCAAACTACCCGCGGTAAAGCTACGGCGCCGGGAGCGCGTCTCCGACTGCTGGGCTTCCCGCGTCCTAAAAAGTGCTCCCTCGATTTGTTCCTGGTGACGTCTGATGCTGTCGCTGTAGCGGGTACGGCGCCTGTTTCGCATAAGTTGGCTGTCCAGCTTTGACAGTCCACAGAAGTTTCGGCAGCCAGGAGCGTGTACGAATTGCGACGACAGCGACACTCGCGTTCACTCGTGCTTTTAGCCGAAGCTTCCGCACCCAACCGTCAGGATCGCCACATCCGACAACATGAAACTCCGGCTTTTGTGAGGTCATCTGTGGCCACTCCGGCACCACTTTCGATTCATTAGACAGAATATAGGACGCTAAACACAGCAGTCGGAGAAGAGTTCCAGGCCTGACTCTGGCCACAAAAGGTCAAGTTGGGCTGTGTCTCGTCGTCTTCGGGTTTTATAAGGCCCTAAATTTCCAGACAAATAGCAAATTTTGACCCAAAAAAACTGCGCTACTTGGGACCCTCCCAGGGGGACGTGGGCAAGGAGGATGGTCTCGGAGGAGGACCCCCGACGGTCTCGTGCCGGTCCTGCCTGCCAGGCCACCGAGGGCCCCTGTGCTCGGCCTGCACGGCGGGCTACCACTGGAAGGGGGACCGCTGCGAGCCCATCAACTGCCTCAGCTTCGCCCTCTGCGCCAGAGACAGGGACAGCCCGGGCTGCCGAGACTGCGACCTGGTCCAGAACAGCCTGCCGCCGGTCGCCCAGAAGAGCTCAGGTGAGAACCTTGCACACGGACTAGTGGTATACGGCTTCTCGCAGCGGGCTTATGGGCTCTTCTACCGCCTCATCACGAAATTACACTAATTAGGCGAGTCTGTTTAGATGGCACGTGGGATTTAAAAAATGCAGTGACTATTTTCTTTGTTTAGAAAGCGAAGACGACATGGTTGCCTCAGGGAAATTGTTTGCGGCGCCAGAAACCGACAAAATAGACCTTTTTCAAAAAAACCCAGACGCCGCGCGATAAATTTTGTACGCTACTTCTTGCACTCGCAGCATCTACTATGTGACACTGAAGAGAGCGAAAAATGAAGTGGACAGCGCAATTGCTCGTCTGCCGTCACTTGAGTTTTCTCCGTCGCCTCCTACACCCGGTTCTGTACCTAGGCAGACTGCGCTCTCAGGCTTTCAACCGGTCGATTGGCGTGTAGTTTTACCTGTGGTGTTGCAGCCTCGCAGCGGCTTGAATGATAGTACGTTACTTCGTCATCGATTAGACTGAACATCCCGTAATATTTACCTAATAGGCAACCATGGAATATTTCCAGAAAGATTAAATTACATCCATAATTCGATAGAATGGCTCTAGTTCGTCAGTTTAGGAAAACGTAGTGATAGAACCGTGAAGGGTAACAAAAAAACATAATATCGCCTTGCATTGTTTGCACCATTAGCATAATATCGCCATGAAATTTTACGAGTGGGGAGCAGATGTTGCTTCAAGAGGCATTTTCAGTTTAACGTGATGTGTGTGTTTCTTATTTTTAGGCATTTATCTCCTCATAATTAAATTAGTTATTCCAATTTAAGGCTTTTACAGCAGTTCACTTTGCGGCCTCGAACATGCTATAGCCTCATGCACGCTCATGCGGAGCCATAGCAACGGGCTTGGTTTAGTGAGCAGAACACATTCAGGGCCAACCAAAATTCGCCTGTGCACGTCGATCCGCCTTCGTATAGAGTGCCGCCTTCACACACACACGCTGTTGCTGAAGTGGTGACATCCCAGCCGTCTTTTTGCTTAATCGTGTTTTTTTTTTTTTTTTTGTGTGTATGTTGTCTTTTGAAGTGCGCGCACTCCAGTGTGACTTAGCTCGAGCGCGCACCCTTAGCTAATGCACAGGCCACGCACTACGTGCGCCAGCGTGTCACGCGCCGACCAACTCGGTGCAACAAAGTATGTCTTACCCTGAGCCAGACAGACATGTAGGCACCCTACTTTGGCACTTGACGAACGGCAGCGTCCACGTTATAGTGAAGCGCTGCCCACTCAGACATCTCCGAATGCACCAGCAGTGACCCGGCTGCGTCTGCACTTTCCCGCGGCAGCGTTTCTCGGTCTCAAGGTGGAAAAAAAAAAAGTTTGCCACCTTGACTTTCGAAAACGTATCCTCGTTGCTGTATATCTGCTCTCATGTCATTCGACCTGCAGAAGTTGCCCACACCTCGAAATCAATCATGTCCCCCTGCCCTCAATACACCGATATCACCAGACAGTTTAAGTATAGCCACCGCTGCCGCAATGCATTGAGAGAAATTTAATCTTTCGGCCCATGCCACAACATTGCTGGAGCTTTGCGCGTGCAGAGCACGAGGCATCTCGGGGGCACTGCCTGCTGTGAACTGGAGGTATTGCGGCTACATGCATGCTCCGAACGCTTTGTTATATCGATCTATCGTAAGCGGCGACGACGGCAAATACACCGCTATTTTAAAATTCTCTGCGCTGTAATATACCTCATTCATTCATTCATTCATTCATTCATTCATTCATTCATTATTTTATTTCCAAATTTGTTTTCGAAATACACAACAGCTGTTTGGACCCATAGCCGTTAAGGCTAGCCTGGTATCCAATCGTAATATAGGTTCAAAAAGCGATAGAATACAATAGACTCATGCAATGCGCAAAAAAAAAAAAAAAAAGAAATCACAATCTAGAAACTAATTAGCGTAATTGTATTTCATAATCATAAAATAATCTTTTTAAGGAGGGCAGAAAATTATTTTCCAACTTTATATTTAATAGGTATTTCATTCCAAACTAGAGCACCATAAAATGCAATCAACCTTTGTTCATATGCATTATGGCATGGTGGTAATTTAAACCTATAATTCGCAGCAGCCCTTGTTTGTCTTCTCAAAGATCGAAATAAGTTCAAAGAAAGGGATTCATGAGACTCCATAATTTTCCGGACTGTTTCTTTTTCTCAACATAAAAACTGATCTGTTCCTTAATATTTAAATTGGCTTAAATAGTAATTATTATTTTTGTGTTGTGTCTATATAGGATACCATCTATCTTTTTCCTTTGGTACCCCTAAAACTTGGCCCGTCATCCAAGGACAGACCGGTGTACATTGTATTTATTAGACGTCTTCTTTACAGCACTCAACGTTATCGCGCTTTTGAGACTAGTAAGGAAGTTGTAGTATTCGATATGAACGTTTTATTATAAGTGGAGTATATATCTAGTCGTTCTAATATCCCACGAAGCTGCGTATAATCTATTTTAGTCTGCTGTTCAGGACGACAAGATTTTCTTTTACGAATGACCTCTTTTTGTAAAACAAGAAAAATGGCCAAGTGGTCAGCTATCAAGCTTGGGTAAACACCAGCATGGACATCCGTATCAGTATCGCAAAGACCATGACCAATGAATGTACTAGAGGTGCTAGTAATGCGAGTAGGTTGATTAATCAAGTTGCGTAAGTTGAAAGATTCTAAAAGCAGCGTATAGCTGTTATGCGTATCACTAGCCAGATCACTATTAAAGTCTCCAACAACTACAATGCGATCATTCTGTCCATTAGACAATGACGTAAGTACTGGCTCGAATTTTACAAAAAAAAGTTTACTAACAAGCTTGGAGGTCGATACACTACACCGACTATTACGCCACAATTAAGCTTTATAAAATGTGCTTCAATGACATCATCACTAATAGTGGCAGGCAATAAAACCTGGAAACCAATAATTTCTTTTACAAAAAACGCGACGCCTCCACCTCTCGTATGCGTATCACGTGGAAGAGATAATAAATTGTCGCCATGCATGACAATGTTGTCATCGTTTTATAACAAAGTTTCACTTACTACAATGACATCGGAACCAGGCACATGTTGGGAGACATGCCCAACTAAAGAGTTATAATATTTTCGTAAGCTACGTACATTGCAATGGAAAATAGAAAGCTTATTTTCATTCTGTATCATCCATCGTAAACCGGAGACACGGAAAAATAAAAAAACGGACAAAACAACAAGTCTCAAACACAGCTTCTAGTTTATTTGAACACCTCCGCTCTTATATATACACACCAACTCTCCTCTCCAAAGGTCGACACACCTCCTCTCCACTCCATCAACGACATCTCAAACTGAACCAATGACACATGCTACCTCCCTTCCTTTCATACCAACCAAAAACTGACCCCTTTCCAATCCACGAAACAGGCACTCAAACCCTGCTAACAATAAAAACACCCCCCCCCCCCAAAAAAAAAAAAGAAAAGAAAAAAAAAGAGGTTTTTTGGAACCGACCAGCCACAGCTGATAACAGACCTATCGAACAGACACGGTGTTAACATTCAAACACCCCTCAAAAAAAAAAAAAAAAAAGTTTAGAGACATAGAAAGCGTTTTAGTTCACTTCCGAAACCCAAGGACGGTGTGCTGACACAATTGCCACGCTCCAAAATACATAAAGTCTCCCTCACAACTCTCCTACCATTTTCTTTCTCTTTATGCAATACCTGGGTATCCCCCCACTCAGGCTGACAGTGATTGCAGTCTACAACATGTTTAGCTATTTCTGAATACTGCGCATTGTCTTTTACCGCCCTTTTATGTTCCAGCAAACCTATCATTCAAACAGCGACCAGTTTGGCCTACATAAGACAATCCACACCGCAAGGGAATGTCGTATACAACTCCAACTTGACAAGTTAAATCAGGGTTTTGGTGTTTCTTTAGGCAACCCTGACGACGATTACGAGACGGAATGTCCAACGAGCCTGAATGTCCAACGAGACGAAAGATCCAATAATGGATATTCAGGCACGTTGGACATTCAGGCTCGTTGGACATTCCGTCTCGGTTGGATCTTTCGTCTCGTTGGACATTCAGGCTCGTTGGACATTCCGTCTCGGTTGGATCTTACGTCCCGATGGACTTTCAGGCTCGTTGGACATTCCGTCTCGGTTGGATCTTTCGTCTCGTTGGACATTCAGGCACGTTGGACATTCCATCTCGCCTGTCACGTGCTAGAATAATTTGCCCTCTTAAATGCCCACTAAATATACACCTGTGTGTATATTTAGCCCGCGTCCCTGCAGGCATTGCCGTAGTTACATCATACTAAAATGTCGTGCCACAAAAGCCGACGTCGACGGACCGACAAAGAAACAGAGCAGACACAAGTATTATAATTTCATCGATAGGAAGGCTTGATGGTTAGTTAGCTGAGTGCCGATGCGCAGCTATGTACCAATCGGTTAAAGGTGTCGATTGTACGACGCCAAACGCTCCTTTGATATTAACAGTTCAAATGTTTGGAATATTCCGATGACATAGGTCAGCCAACTTGAAATATATAATAGAGATGCAATGTACGGGTGTTCTAGTGGATCGCAATTGGGGGACGTCTATAAAAGCCGCGCTTCAGATCCCAGGAATTTCTAGTTCAGTCCTCATCCCTGCCCGTTTCAATCTATAGATGAGCTACATACGGAGATCCGCATCGCAAACACATGACCGCCCGCCAGCGCCACTGACTTTGCGGAAAGTCAATATTTAATTTTTTTTTAAAAGGAGCTTTGGGAGCTGTGGGTGCGAGGCATCAAGAGTTTCCACAGGCGTAATTTCCCACTAATAAAAAAAAATATGGATATTTTTTTTTAAATAAAATCTACATTTAACGCGCCTGTAAATGCATGGGAGTGGTGGCTGGTGGGACCCGACAAGTCCTGAGTAAATGCGGAACAATTGTGTGAAT